CACACAATCCTAATCAATATCCCAGCAGGCTTCTTATAGATATTGACAAGCTTTTTCCAAAATGTGTAGGAAATGTAAAAAGATGTGGGGTGGCCAAAGCCACTTGAAAAGGCTTATGTGACTTACTGGAAAGCTAAAATAATGAAGACACTGTAGTTATTACTGACTGGATAGAAATATTGATCAAAAACAGAATAAAGCCCAGAAACAGACCTGCTTACAAAGGATGGATTTATTTTGAGAAACATGCCAGAGTACTTGAATACACAAGGCAGAAAATGTTCTTTAAGTGATCTTAGTGTATTTGGACATTCATATGCTAACTGTGGTGCTTAAATAACCCACAACGTCTACAAATGTTCACATGACCTGAGCTAAATGTAAGAGCAAAACCATGAGCCTTATAAACAGAAGCAAATGAAACCAAAACCAAAACAGCAATAGCAAGGCAGGCTGGATGGAAGGCTCAGTGGTTAGGAGCACTCTCCTATCTTGAGGAGGACACGGGTTCAGGTCCCAGCCTCCGCATGGCGACTCACAAACACTGTGATTCCAGTTTCAGGGATCCGGTGCCCTCTTCTGGGGCCCTTCAGGCGCTGCAATTGACGTGGCGCACAACGTGCCAGTAATCGTTCTAAACAAAGAATGCAGGTAAAATAGTTGTCGTTGTTGTTGCTGCTAGTGACAAAGAAGGCTTTTTTGGAAAATGACCTAAAATGAATGAACATAACTCTAATGCTAAAGCATCCGGACTTTGAAAAATACATTTAAGAAACGAAAGATAGAAAGCTAGAGAGATGATTTCCTGGTTAAGAGTACTTCAAGAGGGCGCGGGTTTGAATCCCAGCACTTACATGGCAGCTTATAACTGGCTGTAATTCCAGCTCCAGAGGATCTGATGCCATCTTCTGGCCGCTTCAGGCACTGCACACACAGGCTGCGCAGGCACACAAGCAAAAGGCCCATGCACATTTAAAAAAAGTACAATTTTTATATCAGAATGGCTCAGATAAAAATTTTAATTTTTTATTTTCTCATGTATAAGCAGATTTTAACCATATAGTACAAGATAGACATACTACAATTCATAGACCCAAAGAAGATAAGTAACAAGGAGGACCCAAGAGAGGATGCTTAAATCTCACTCAGAAGGGAAACAGAATAGACAGTGGAAGTGGCTGAAAAGAGGGAAGAAGGCAGAAGCCTAGCACAGCCTAGCTCCACCCAGCACTGGATCAGAACATACTGAGACTCACAGCCAAACACTGGGCAAAGCATAGGGAGTCTTGTGGAGAAGTGGGAGGAAGGATAGAAGGACCAGGAGGTGCCAGGAGCTCCACAAGAAGACCAACAGAGCCAACTAACCAAAGCTAACAAACCCAAGAGGGGTTTGCAGAGACTGAAGCACCAACCAAAGACCATGCATAGACTGGCCCAGGCCTCTACACAGATGTAGCAGATGCGCAGCTCAGGCTTCATGTGGGTTCCCTCGTAAGGGAAGTGGGGGTTGTTTCTGACATAGACTCTGTTGCCTGCAGTCTGATTGCTCCTCTCTGGCAGGGCTGACTTGCCAGGCCACAGAGGAAGAGGAGTAGCTCAGTCCTGGTGTGACTTAATGAGCTGGGGTGGGTTTCCCTTATCTGAGGGAGGGGAATGAAGTGGGAGGGCTTACGACCAGGCTGTAAAATTTATTAATTAATTAAAATAATAAAAAACTTAAATTTAAAAGGAAATAAAAGGATAGACCATATATTGGAGGGAAATATTTCTAAATTACATTTTTTAATAAATTACTGTCATACAAAAGTTAGTAAGAAAACTCACTTAAAAGTAGGAAAACATACCCAAACAGATACTTCACTGAAGAAGGTAGAGGAACCCTACAAGAACATAAGAGATCATCACTCCATAAGAGAGAAATGGACACCAAAAGCCAGTAGCATAGGGCCAGCAAGATGGCTCAGGATGTGAAGGAGCTTCCTGCACAAGCTGGACACCTGAGTTCAGTTCTCAGACCCGCCTGGCAGAGGAGAGAACTGCGTCCCACATGCTGACCTTTGACCTCCACAGGCACACCATGGCACATATTCCCTCTCCTCACAAAACGAAGAAATAAGATTAACCAAGACCCAGAAGAGACACCACTTTGGCCCTCAGGAATGACTACAGTTGGGAGAACTGGCAATACCAAGTCCTGAAGAGCGGTAGAGTTCTCACCTATTTGCAGATCATTGTAGGTGTTGGGAAAGCAAGTTAGCAGTTTCTCACGACACTAAACACAGCTTTAAGACCCAGAAGTGAAATTCTACTCCTGATCTTTTCCCGAGGAGGAGGAATCATGTTCCGGGAGCCTGTGTACAAATGCCCAGAGAGGATAAATTTATATCATCCCCAAATCAGAAAGGGATTGCACCAACACCCCACTGTGCAGTTCGATCGTGCTAGTCGGCAACCACAAGACACCAGGGGCATCTCTCAACAACAGCGTGGTCGATGAAAGGGGCCCCGACAGAAAAGGCAGCGTGCTGGATGGTCTCAGTTACAAGACATTCCAGAAAGAGCAAAATTACAGAGAGAGAAAACAAAGCAGTGGCTCCAGGAAAGGTTCGACTTCAAAGGAGCATGCAGGACACTTGGGGACAGAAATCTTCTGTGTTCGCGGTGGCAGTTGCTCCCACAACTGTAAACCCTTGTCGAAGCTCACTAACTCAATGTTTTGAAATAAACATGACCTCCCAAAATGAACAAAAGACATACTGAGTCAAGAAAAGTCTATAAAAAGATCAAAACAGTAATTTAAATCATTTCATAAAACATCTCTTTATGACTTGTAATACTGTGTTTTCAAGACATATGTGTCTGAAGTATCAGCTCAGAACATTCCTATAAAAGTCAAACCACTCTCAGTTCAATCTGTCTTTGCCATTTACTAGAAAGATGACCTTATGCCTATCATGTAACTCAGACCTCCTAAGATTAGGGTGGGGTTAATGACTCAGTTAACCACTCATAACTCTGTCTCAGAATAAATATTCACCAAATGCCAATTTAGAAATGTCCTAAGTGAGAGAGTGTGCATGCTTGTATACACACACACACACACACACACACACTCATAGCTTCTAATGTCACAGGAAAATACTGAAACTAGCACACATGTATGGTAGATCTTTGCGGTGCCTGGAGGAGCTGATAGACTTTCTGGAAGAAATCATGGCAATAGATATGAAATATGAGTAAGTGGTTTGGGGCCAATTAAGAGAGCGAAGGGCAGAAAATGTCACTGTGTACTTGAGAATGACAAGCAGTTTGCTACTTCTTGGAGCCAAGAAAACCTAATAACACAGAGGGTCTTGAATGCCAGTCACGAGGCATCCCATCCTGTGGTGGGTGAGGGGAGCCAGCGAAGAGAAAGACAGTCCAGTCAGACTTGCAACTTACAGAGTGACTTTGACCATCCTGGAAAAGAGCAGCTGATGCAAGGGCAAAGTCACAGGACTCCAGACATATTGAAAGGCTTGTAAATCAGCCCAGGGAAAGGATGATGGTACTCTGAAAATGGGCTGTGGGAGTGGCATGACCAGTCTGAGGAACTCAGATCTGATCGCTGGGCACAGAGGGGAGTGAGCAGAGACAGGGGAGACCAGCGGTTCTCAACCTTCCCGATGCTGCTAAAAGTGCTGTGTGCACAGCACTACCAGAAAAGACAAAGACTGGGAAACATCCTCTGGAGCGAGGCAGTGTTAGTGTGGAGCCAAACCAGGTTTGAATGGAAAGTTATAAACGCGAAAGTCTATAGCACAGGAACGTTTTCTGGAAAGCCATGAACAGGAGCAGAGAGATAACTGAGTGGGGGGAGACATGCTTTGCTATGGTTTGTCTAAGTGTTTCCCAAAGGCCCACGGGTTAAAAGCTTCGTCCCCAGGATGGCATGGTCCCATGGATCTTTTAGAGGTGGACATTAATGGGTTCCTCCCTCTGTGTGTGTGTATGAATCGTGTGTACCAAAGCATATAGAGAGGTCAGATGAAAAACTTTATGAAGTTGGTCCCCTGCTTTATTCATGTGGGATCAAACTCGGCTCTCTAGGCTTGCATAGCAAGCATCTTTACTTTTCAGCCATTTTGCCAGACCCTAAGGAAAATTTTGGATTTGTTTTATTTCTGGTGCAGCACCTGAAAGATCATTATACTTATATACACATGGGGGAGGGGTGGAAGAAAGGAGGATAATAAATTATATTAGCTATTAGTCAAGGTCTAACAAAAACATGGAAATCACATGAGGTGTTTGACTGCTAAAGGCAACTGAGGGACCCTGTCTGTGACTGCACGGGCACAGGTCGAGTTAAGTAGAAATGAAGACTATTCCGAGGGTTGCAGATAAAAGGTGCTTAGGAGATCATTGCTGGGAAAGGAAATGAGGAGATAGAGGAGAAGCTGGAGGAGTACCTCGGCGGGGGGTGGGGTGGGGCTGCGGTGACTGGATCAAATGGGCAGCCAATTTGGGAGAAGTGTGTTTTTCTAAGAAAGCTTCAAACATTTCAGCAATGAAGCGAAGACACCAGACGAATGATTTCGAGAGGGCCAACATATTTGTGCTGTGTAGGAAAAACTGGGAGCCTCACCAGAGCCGTCAGCTGCGAGTCCAAACGCCAAGGCCTGGAGTCTGGTGGCCTTTGTGAGAAAGAGCAAGGAAGGAAGGAGCCAATTATGGCTTCTTTGCAGACTGTGAGGCGGGTGGGATGGGGAGCGAGGGAAGGGTAGAGGGCGAGAGAGCAAACAGGCTCTTCTTTATTGGGGCCATTGGAAAGGCTATCTGAAGATGAGGAAGGGAGGGAGGGGAGGAGATTTTGAGCCTTGTTAGTCTTTCGATTATGGTTCCTGCAAGACTGACTGCCTTGGCGCTGGACAATGGGAGCCTTGGAGCTAAGAGCCAATTCCGGGCAGAGCACGCAGGCGCAGCCCGGTGTCGCCTAGCAACCGTCAACAACACCGACCAGCCGAGGCCAATGCTAGGCGTAGGAGCCACTGCTTCTAGCCACTGCGTCGCAGGTAAGGGCAGGCGGGGCTACACACCTGCCCCAAGGGTTAGACACAAGGACCAGAGGACAGGGCACACTGTGGGATTCGGTGCACGCGAGGGGAATTCTGGGACTTCAGGGACACCTGAGAGCTGCCCAGCCTGGACCCGCAGTTACAAGCTCCCTTAACGGGGTGGACTGAGGCTAGAAGAGGGACATGAGGGTCTAGGAGCTTGTCCCTTGACTGTAAGTGACTCTTGAGGTGACTCTGCCTGCTCCGGTCCTCTGCTGCTCTAAGTCTGCTCAAAGCCAGATCTGCCTTAGCCGTGGGAGAGGCTGGGGAAACCGTGACAAACGGCTAGAATGTGGCTGTGAAAGGTGTGAATTTAAGCCAAATCCATCGTCATAACCAGCTCAGTGAATTTGGAACCTATCCAACCCGTTTCCCACCCCCCTACACACATATGAATTTGTATTCCTAAAGAAACGGGGAGGTGGGTGAATTTTTTTTAATATCCAAAGACGTTCATTACAGCCTTGGCCATAATTCAAGAAAATTGGAAGTGGGAGGCTCCATGAGTAATGAATTTGAAAGCATTATTTAAATGATATGCTGATCCACTGGAGACACTGGGAGGATAAATGGAGATGGAGATGTTGTGAACGTGCCCTTTAAGAATTTCTTAGGAAAATGGTCCCAGGTAAGGAAATTGACAATAGGCAGTACAATTCAGGCGCTCGTGTGTGTGTGTGTGTGTGTGTGTGTGTGTGTGTGTGTGTGTGTGTGTGCGCGCGCGCACACACACACACACTATTTCAAAATAACAGAAATCTAACTGAGCTTATCTTTGGGTGAATTTTCTTTTGTTCTTTGTGTTATTCATTGTTTCTCAGATCCTCAACAACAAATGCCTAGTTTCTATGAGAAAAAAAAAAATTAATGTGTATGGCAAACTGCTCCCACCTATACCAGTGTTTTCTGTTGGTGCTGTCTTACACCTGAGATGGAATTAAAACCCAGCCACTCATGGTGCTGCTCAGGACCCCTTCCATGCTCAGGGCTGTGTCTTTGCCCTCTGCACCCTTCATTATCCTACTGTTCAAAAACATTATTCCAGAATAGGAGACTTCAGTAGGAGGGCAGCTGAGATAACTTCAGACAACTGTGTGTGGGTGTAGCTTGACTCTTGACTCTTCTTCAAAAGGAATTGTCACAAATCAGTTGCTGCTGTTAGAACTGCTCATTCCTCCCTAGCGATAGACTGCATGATAATATGTCACGGTTCTAAAATAGTTTCTATGTGTCTTTCTGAATGAACAGGCTCAAAGATAAGGGCCTATGTATGAATATTTAAACATGTATGAATATCTGAAATTTGAGAAAAATGTTGGTTTTAATATATAAAAAGAAAATTAAAATTAGTATTTCAATGTTTTGTTGATACTACATTTCCAAACATTTGAAGAGTTTTCTCATTTTTTTAAAGAATTTTCAGGTATCCATACTAGTTGCTGAGCAATTTCAAAAGCATATCCTGATGAAAATGCAGGAGCTGGACAGGTGTCTCAGTGACTAATGGCATTTGCTGTTCTTTCAGAGGACTGTGTTTGGGTCCCCATCACCCCACTGTGGCTCACAAGTCTGTAACTCCAGTGTCAGGGGTTCCAATACCCACTCTGGCCTCTCCAGGCACCTGGCATGCACATGGTGAATGCAAAACACCATATACATAAAATACATAAAACTAAAAATTGTTTATACAAAATTATATTTAATGGAGAATGTGGGTGTCTTTTAACATTTCAGTGTACTAGATAATGCCTAAGGTAGCCCATTATAGGGTAAACCTGTAATTCCTCACAAACCTCATGATTCAAAGGAATAGATGCTTTTCAAAAGTCTGAGTTATTGCAATTATGTGGCCTTTTAATGAGGGCAATGCACTCTGTCCCATATCTCTAGAGCCAGGAGCTGCTTTTGACTTCTGGCAAGCAACTTCAACTAATCCTGACACTCAAGGCCCTCCCCAGGGACTTTGTCCATCCAAGGTTTCTTGTGAGACAATCTTACCAGTAAGTGTCTTCACAATACATGCTTCCAACAGGGATGTCTGCGCACGTGCAGTAATTCCTATGTGAACTGCATGCTTTAACCCAGTGAGATGTGAAGAAGAAATGACCCTTCTCCCCAGAGCACAGACAGCTAAGAGATGGAGAATGTATACACTTATGATGTGCAAATTGTGTTTTCTGCATTTTTTTCCAGGATGGGTAAAAAAATAAAGAAGGAAGTTGAACCACCCCCCAAGGATGTGGTAAGTCCCCCGGTGCTTTAAAAGAAACTGTTCCAACAGGTTGGCGTGCCCCTCGGCATGCACGCATGAATGTATGCGGCAGAAGTCCAGCGTCTGACTAATGACAATGTTAGCCAGAGCAAAGGAGCATGTAAGCAAACATTTGCAACATTGTTATTATATCATTAGCACGATTAGGCAGCCATTAGCAGCTTTTCTAGTATGTAGATAGCATGTTTACAGTCTGCTAATGGAAAAATAGTTTCATTGTGTTCTTTTAAATACTTCCAGTTTATATTCATTGTCCTCTCATTAATATAAATTATTGAAGGGAATTTTCAAAAAGAATGAGAAGTTGTGCTACAGCTTGTACATACTCGTGTTTGGCATCTGCTGGTGATCTTGGACCTGAAATGTCCCATATTTTCCAATTGGAAAATAACCTGGGTTACCAACTCCTTTTCTTTCAAATGTTGAGCATGAACACAGCCCCTGCAGAATGCCCTTTTGCTCCTAAATGCATGGTTTACCTGCCCACCTTAGTCAGTTACTGAAAGACTGCGTTACAGCGGAGAACAATTTGATGACTCTGGCTTCAGAGTCTCATTTCAAAACAGATGTTGGACATGTTTGTCATCAGACAGAATACACATAAAAATGAGGAATTTCCAAGTTTGCAAAGCTGGAAAGTTCTGCAGAAAGTCGCCCTCAGATCAGAGCATTATGGTAAAGGTTGGAAGTCTGTGTCATCAAGGTTCCTCAGGAACTGTGTTCATCACTTTGGCCAAGTTGCCAAATTTGTCAAAGCTATTGCAGTTTTCTTTATCTTTGAAATGAGACTATCACTCTCCAACTCATTTGGATTGTTACATTATTAAATAAAATAAATTACATGAAGTTTTCAGTCCTTGCCATATAATGCAGTAAATAACATCTGTTATTGTGGGAATCCCTAGGACTCTGCTCAGCCACACAGACAGACAGACACACACATATATACAATCACACAGAGTGACAAACACACACACAGAAACACAGACAGACACAGATACAGAGACACACAAACACACACACACATTGACACACACACAGACACAAACACAGAAACACAAACACACACACACACACACTGGCAACCTAGAGGTATTCAATACTATAAAGTTATGGCAAAAGCTATAGAAGTTTCTGTCTGCCTTCATCTAGGAAACCTTGGCAGAAGTAGTCACTGTGAATTTTTACTGGTTTCCTGTTTTTTCTCATGCTGGCTATTTCCCTCAGCCGTTCTTCTAACACGTAACAGACCTTCTTATTTCATTAGTTCATAAGCCTCAGCGTATATCCACGTAGCACTGTTAGTGCCTTTAAGGGGACTTATGAACACAGTACTTAGCAACAAACATACTATGATTGAAATTAGGATCAGTCGACTAGCAGTCAATAGGCATATCAGTCCGGTGAGCTTCCTACAATGGTATAAACAACAGACATGTTTAATACTGCCCTACAATGCTACAATATCTGGCCATATTGTGTCCTGTGAGCCAATGTTCGAGGACACAGGGAAGATTTAAGAAACTCAGCCCTAGGGCTGAAAACATTTACAGGTGGCTCTGACTTCCTGGGTTCGCGATAAGCGAGACAAAGACACACAAAACATCCACCCGTGTCCTTTTCTATTGCTGTCCTCCCAGGCCCTTCATGTCGGTAAAACTGGTCCCGTTAGGAAACCTAATCCTCCTTTTAAAAGATTTATTGTTTTTATGTCTGTGTATATGAGACTGTGTGAGTTCCTGTGCACCATTGTCAGATCCCCTAGAACTGGAGTTAGAGGCAGCTGAGAGCTACCTGATGGGGTGCTGGGAACTGAACTCTGGTCTTCTGCAAAGGGAATAGCACTCTGAACAGCAAGCCAACTTTCCAGCCTCTCTGCTCTGATTTTTATCTGGTAACCAGTTATCACAAAAGGTCTGTCACAATTAGCAGTATCCTAACTTGGTCTGCCTCTTCAAAGCCTATAAAACATTTGTTCTGGGGCTGATGGGTAAAGGCACTCACCTCTGAGGCTCAGGGCAAGAGCTGATACCGAAGACCCACACGACACCGAAACTTGTCCTTTGATCTACGCATACACATTCTGGCATGCACACACCCCAAACATACAACAATCAATTGTAATAAAAATAGTTTTAAAGTTTTTCTATAAATTGCAAGTGATAACCAAGTGTCAGAGAGAGTGAGAAATAATGGCTGATGGAAACAAACTTTTCTCAGTCAACTAATGTTACTTTGCTTGCCATATATTTTCTAGAAACAGCTGCCAACGATTATTCTTTTCACCCATCGTGGGTTAACAGAGGCAGCATAGTACTGAAAGGATTAAAACAGAATCTCCCTGTGTTTCCCTAACTTCTCATTGGTCAGGGCATGTCTTGACGTATGGCAGACATGGTTTATATATCTACATTCTTTTCTCAAGAGAGAGGCAGAAACAGAGAAAGCCATGCCTTGAATGACCAATACAACTATCTTCTCCCTCAACCAAGTGTAGCTAAATGTTTGCTTGTGGTGTTTTAAGAAAATTCAGAATACTTGTGAAATGACTGGTGAATGAATTTCTAGTTCCACCCATTTGCCTGCAAATTTCATGATTTCTTTGTTCTTAATAGCTGAATGGTATTCCATTGTGTAAATGTACTGCAGTTTCTTTACCCATTCTTCAGTTGAGGGACATCTGGGTTGTTTCCAGATTCTGACTATTACAAATAAAGCTGCTATGAATATAGTTGATCAAGTGTCCTTGTTGCATGGTGGAGCATCGTTTGGGTACATACTCAGGAGACATATAGCTGGGTCTTGAGGTAAAGTTATTCTTAATTTTCTAAGGAAGTGCCAGATTGATTTCCAAAGTGGTTGTACAAGTTTACACTCCCACTAAATGAATAGAGGAGTGTTCCCTTTTCTCCACTCCCTTACCAGCACTTGCTGTCACTTGAGATTTTGATCTTAGCCATTCTAACTGGTGTGAGATGGAAACTCAGAGTTGTTATGATTGCATTTCCCTGGCAACTAATGAAGCTTAGCATTTCTTTTTAAATTTTATTTATTTTTTATTAATTACAGTTTATTTACTTTGTATCCCAGCTGTAGCCCTGTCCTTTATTCTCTCCCAATCCCACCCTCCCTCTCTCATCTCCTCCCATGCCCCTCTCCAAGTCCATTGATAGGGGAGGTCCTCCTCCCCTTCCATCTGACCCTAGCCTATCAGGTCTCATCAGGACTGGCTGCATTGTCTTCCTCTGTGGCCTGGTCAGGCTGCTCCCCCGTCAGGGAGAGGTGAACACAGAGCCTGCCACTAAGATCTTGTCAGAGACAGTCTCTGTTACCATTACTAGAGAACCCACTTGAAGAATGAGCTGCCGTGGGCTACATCTGTGCAGGAGTTGTAGGTTATCTCCATGCCTGGTCCTTAGTTGGAGTATCAGTCTCAGAAAAGACCCCTGAGCCCAGATATTTTGGTTTTGTTGCTCTCCTTATGGAGGTCCTGTAGCAGGCAAATGGTGAGAACTACAAAAGATCATCCTGAGTGAGGTATCCCAGAAGCAGAAAGACACACATGGTATATACTCACTTATAAGTGGGTATTAGACATAAACATACTAAAATCTGTACACCTAAAGAAACTAAGCAAGAAGGAGGACCTTGGGTAAGATGATCAATCCTCACTCAGAAAGGCAAACAGGATGGACATAGGAAGATGGAGAAAACAGGAAACAGGACAGGAGCCTACCCACAGAGGGCCCCTGAAAGACTCTACCCAGCAGTGTATCAAAGCAGATGCTGAGGCTCACAGCCAAACTTTGGGCAGAGTGCAGGGAATCTTATGAAAGAAGGGGGGAGATAGAAAGACCTGGAGTTTAGCATTTCTTTAAGTGTTTCTTGGCCATTTGAGAGATTCCGCTGTCGAGAATTCTCTGTTTAGTTCTGTGCCCTATTGTTTAATTGGGTTATTTTGTTTATTGGTGTTTGATTTCTTGAGTTCATTATATATTTTGGATATTTGTTGGATGTAGGATTGGTGAAGATCTTTTCCCAATATGTAGACCATCTTTTCTTTCTATTGACAGTATCTTTTGCCTTACAAAAGCTTTTCAGTTCCAACAGGTCCCATTTATTAATTGTTGATCTTAGAGCCTGAACTGTTGGTGTTCTGTTCAGGAAGGTGTCTTTTATGCCAATGAGTTCAAGGCTTTTCCCCATTTTCTCTTCTAATAGATTTAGTGTATTTGGTGTTATATTGAGGCCTTTGATCCACTTTGATTTGAGTTTTGCACAGATAAATAGGGATCTATATGCATTTTTCTACATTAGACAAGGAGCATGCGTTGAAGATACTGGTTTTTCCCCCCATTGTATGGTTTTGGCTCCTTTGTAAAAAATCAAATGACCATAGGTATTTCCGTTTATTTCTGGGTCTTCGATTCAATTCCAGTGATCAAGCAGTCTGTTTCTGTGCCAGTATCGTGCAGTTTTTATTACTATTGTTCTGTAGGAGAGCTTGAAGTCAGGGATGGAAATGCCTCCATAAGTTCTTTTATTGTAGGGGATTTTTTTTTTTTTTTTAGCTATTCTGAGATTTTGTTTTTCCATATGAAGTTTAGAATTGTTCTTTCAAGGCTTGTGAAGAACTGTGTTGTTATTTTGATGGGAACTGCATTGAATCTGTAGATTGCTTTTGATAAGAAGGCAATTTTTACTGTGTTAATCCTACCTATCCAGGAGCCTGAGACATAGTTCCATCTTCTGATATCTTTTTCAATTTCTCTCTTCAGAGACTTGAAGTTCTTGTCTTACAGGGCTTTCACTTGGGTGGTTAGAGTTACACCAAGATAGGTTGCGTTTTTCTTAACAGAGATTGGAGACTGTCTGTAAGCCTCTGGTCTGGCAGCAGACGGGCGTTCCAAAGCAGGGCTCAGCCAGAATGCTGCTTCTTACTTCCATTCCTTCTGTCGGTAATTTTGGCCCACCGTTCTTTTTATACAGAGCATGACATTGTAACTTCACAACAAGCTTGCTACTGACTGACTGCCTCATGGGGAGGCAGATGGGCTATGTGATTACAGCTTGCGATTATTTATTTAGTTGTGTGTCATTCTGTTACAGCCATCATTTTATTCTCAGCACCTTTTTAAATAAAAAATTACTATAATGTTGTAGGCCCTGCAGGAAAAACAAATACCAGCCAAGTGCCTTTGCTGTCTGCCAAGCGCTGGCATTTCTACAGCAGAACTGCTCTTTAGAGTGTAGCTCTGATGGCCTCCATTTTCCTTTATGTTTCCCATAATCTATATTGCCTTGTTTCTAATGGGGACTGGAAGGCACAGGAACACATCAGAGTGCTGACTAAGCCTTCAGGAGAGATTAAATGGTGTTCATTTATCACTCTTGTTTAGAAGGATTTTTATGTACTCTACCTCTTCACAGACTGGAATTATCATGACATTCTCACAAGTCAGCCACGTGTTTATAAAATGAGCTTTCAGAGAGCCAGATATTAATTTAGATTTAGTGCTATAGGGTCTGACTCTAGTCTTCACTACTTTGGAGACTGAGGTGGATGGGTTGCTTGAGTTTGGGAGTTCAAGGCCAATCTGGGGAACATTGTAGAATTTAATGTCAATAACAATAACAGAACTGGAAAGATGGCTCAGTCGGTGATGGTACACAGCAGGAGGACCTAAGTTCAGATCCCCAGAACCCACAAAGGAATTAGACATGAGTACTCTCATCTGTCACCCCAGAACTGGGTAGCAGAGGGACCCTGGAGGATGGGGAGACAAGCAGAGCCGTGGAGCTCAGTGGCCAGCCAATCTAGTCAAATCAGTGAGCTTCAGGTACAAAGTAGGCACATATTTAAAAATAATGGAGGAACAAAAAGGTGAAAACGACTAATAAAAGACACTTAATGTCAAACCCTGACCTCCAGATGCACTCATACCAACTCACCACCCAAACAGAGAGAGGAGAGGGGGAGGGAGAGAGGGAGAGAGGAAGAGAGAAAGAGGGATGAGGAAGATAGGAAGAGGGAAGGAGGAGAAGATGGAGAGAGTGAAGAAGAGAGGAAGAGTTGCATTAGAAAATGAAAGCTGTGAAATAGGGGTTGAGTCCTTCTGAGTGTGGGCTGGTGGGGAGAATAAGCAGCTACAATGTCAGGAAACTGCTTCAAGTTTCAGGATGTCTAAACTATGGTTCTCAGAGACTGACAGGCGGTGTGAGAGCCCTGTGCAGTGGGATAGAGACTCTGGATCCTTTTGCTTGCAATTTCAGTAGCAGGATGCACCTTTTGAAGCCAGTTGGTGGCTTAGGTTTCCTGATATCAGAAGACAGTACCCAGATAAGCCACCTTAACTCCACAAACTGAACTCGGGAAGCCCAACAAACATGGAGCTCTGTAGCTTCAATTGCTATTAAGGGAAAAAATGAAATGAAATTATCAATAAATAGTTGGCAGCACGCGTCATGGTCACTGGTAGAGCCTTAAAGTGGTTGCCTTGGGCGTTGATGACGGTTAAATTCAGCTTGGATAGGAAAAGCCAGTAGAAAATGGAGAAGAGCAACATATCACCATGGTTTTGACTCTGAAAGGGAAGGAAGGGCAGAAGGTAAATAGTATCTAAAGAAAGTTTAGTTTTCGTTTCAAAATAAGAGAGATTTGGTTGGAAACTTTTTGTTGGAGTCTATATGGCACAGAGAAGGGCTAACAGCAAAGGAAGTCTGGTTAAACTTTCCTGAGATTTAAATTTTAAGTGTTTAAATTCTATAGTTCTGGGTAGAACTATACTTGATATATAGCATGCCTGAACTACTAAGAAGCTGTGAATGGAATGCCTTTTAGAGCTCACATAAGTTGGGGAATCATATTTTTGATTAGAGAGTCTTATTGAATATCTGGAGCATTATTAGATAGGAACTCCAGGGGCCCTGCGCCTTTATAGGATGTCTAGTTTGCCCTGTGGTGCTGGGTTTGTTACAGCAAGGTTTAAAAGTGGGATTGAAGTACACAGAGCTGATCCAGATGGAGGGTAAGTGCTTGAGAGAGTAAAATTCAATATCCTTTAAGTTCCCTGCATCCCCATTACCAAGGGAAAAATCTATACACTCAACTACATAGTTTTCACTATGTTAAGTAGCCAATAAAAATAATTAAGGATGGAAAAAAAAGAAAAGTGTGACCCATATCAGGAAAACAATCAATAAGCCATTAGAGGAAATAAAATAGGAAACTAAAAAATTCAATTACCAAAAAAAAAGAAGACAGGGAAAAGAATAGCTAGGGAAAGTGGAGATAGATAGTAAGATAGTCAATAAAACCCAACTATATCAATAATCTTACTCGACATAAATTTTGAAATATTTTAAGAAGAGAGATTGTCAAATTTAAAGAAAAGACCCAAGAAACCTTTAAGGATACATATAGGTTTGTGAGTGAAAACAGAAAGACATCCATGTAGTGCAAACACTAATAGTAAGAAAGCGTTTATGTATTGAACAAAAATTCAATTAAAGGACAAACACTTTTATCAAAGGAAAATGTGGGTGTTTAGATACAGAAGCTCTTGATCAATGTTGCGACAGTACTGTCGTAAAATCCAGCAGAAGGCAGGTAAAGGTTCGTGCCACCAAGCCTGACCGCCTGAGCCCAGACCCAGGACCCACACAGTAGAAGGAAAAAGCCCATGTCTGTGAGTTGCTCCTTTGAACTCCCATGCCTGTGTATGTATGTGCACACACATGCATGCGTGCGCACAAACACACAATTAAGAATGCAATAAGTTTCAGAAATCCAACAGGCTTTTTCAAAACCCTATGGATTTTTTTAATTCCACATAGCTCCTTTTACGTCATTGCCTACATCCACGTTGGGTGTTAGCTCTAGACGGCAATTTTATTTCAGTGAGCATGTGTGATGTGCTAGGCAATGGGCTAAGCACGTCAACATAACCTCTTCAATCCTAACCTGATCATTTCAGATATGTGCTATTGTCTCTAGAAGACATAGAATGAAATTAGCATTCTAGCCACTTCAGCAACTTGTCTGAGACAAATTGAGAAACTGCATCTGTAACTCAAAACCTTTCTCGCTTTCCACTGTTCTTTAGGATTCAGAGGACTGTCCGTGCAGAAAGTTGTTTCTTTGTCTGTGGTTACTCCTATGTTTTCTTTAATTTTACTTTATGTGTATAGGTGTTTTGCTTGCATGTATGTTCGTATACCACATATATGCAGTGCCCATAGAGAAAGAAACATCAGAAGAAAATATCAGATCCCCTGGAAAGCTGGAGTTACAGACAGTTGTGAGTCACCATGTGGGTGCTGGGACTGAACCTGGGTCCTGGACGAGCAGCCAGAGCTCTTAACTACTGAGCTGTCTCTCCAACTCCAGTGATTTCTTTTTCAGATGGGAACTCTCCAGTGTACCTTCTGGGCAGCGATCACATTGCTTTTCAAGACTGTGGCTGCTTTACATTTCAAGCCGCTGTTGATGGTTATGTGTTATGTCATGTTTATGTGAGCCTGGTGGCTTTTCCTTGTGCGTTTCAGTTCGACCCGCTCACCATTGAGAGCAAGAAGGCAGCGACAGTGGTGCTCATGCTCAGCTCTCCAGAGGAGGAGATCTTGGCCAAAGCGTGCGAAGCCATCTACAAGTTTGCTTTGAAAGGTTTGCGTTTGCTCAGTTCCTCCCTCCATCTCACTGGGTTGCATCCCAGGCACTTCCTTGACTAGTATGTGGCTTACTGCCTATGCGAATGCCATGTAGTCCCCTGTCTGAAGGCAGTGTGCCTTCTTAAAGGGCTTTCCTCAGCTTCCAAGGGTCTGTCGCCGCGTAGAACAGTCATTGAGACCTCATCAACTGTGGGAAAAGCAGGAGTAGGGCACAGTGGCACAGGCCTGTCATCTCAGGATTTGGAAGGTGGAGGCAGGAGGATTATGAATTCGAAGCTAGCCTTGACTGTGTAGAAAATATCCTTTTCTCTCCACTCTCTCACTTACTCACTCACTCATCCAATCAACCAATAAAAATAAATGCCACAGGAATAACAACAACAAGCCGCCATTTGGGTAGTAAGATAAACTTGCTTTAGATCATAACCCAAAGTATAAAATAAATATCCATGTGTAAGACAATATTGATACAGAAAGTGAAATCAAGGCTGTTCCAGCCGTCGCCCTGCACCGAAGCACATTCTCACTCCCTTTGCCCACTTGGTGCTGTTACCATCCACACCCTGAAAGCCTCCATTTGCCCAGTCTCATTGGCACCCCGTTTCTAGTTTCCTTGCCTCCACTCATATTTCCTCCCTTTTGGATGTGGGCTTTTAGCAGTTAGAGGCTAGTATCCGAGTAGGAGAGAACACGGTGTTTGTGCTGCTGAGCCTGGCTTACCTCACTTAAGGTTTTCCTAATCCCGTCCATTTTCAGGGTAATTTTATAATTTCATCTTCATTTACAGCTTAATAAAATTCTGTTCAAATAAAATTTAAATGATCAACAGGGTGAGATTATTGTATTGAATTTAAAAAAGGCAAAGCCAAATTCCATTTTGTCTTCAAGAAAGACTCAGAATATGAAGGCTCAGATCAAAGATGACAAGGGCTAGCTCATTAAAGGACCAATCAAAATAAATCTGTATAAGAAAAATAAACAGCAAAAAGGCGATTTCATCAGGATAAAGTGGTCAAGTAATCCAAAGGCTGTAGAAAATCTTCTGTAGCTGTGGCCCTTATAGAGAACCCTCCAAAAGCAGAAAGCTGGTATCTTGAGGAGAGATACAAACCAACAGACACCAATCCCCCTAGAGAAGACTCAAGACCCTTCTCCCAATAAATGAGGGAATAAATAGACAGTAGGTCTAAAAACATGGACGTTTTGACCATGAATATATAATGATTTTAACCTAGTATTGACAGAACTCTCTGAGAACTGTGGAATGAATGTTATTTCTCAAGAGTAACTTACAGAATACTTACCTCAGTAAACTGCATTCTGGGGCATAAAGCAAGACTAATCAAATTTTAAGGGATTCCAAACTATTCAAAAATGTATCTCCATACCACAGAGGAATCACACTCGAAATCAATAATAGCAGCTATTCTGGGTAACCATGAAATACTCAGCAAGTCAGCTACACATTCCTATGTAACTCCTGAGTGAATAAACAAGGTGGATAAAGGTGAAAATTAAAGTAATTTATAAAAATGTATAGGATGCTGTAAAATGAGTGCTTAGAGAAAAATTTATTGCATCATGCTAAAAAACAAGTTTCAGTGACAGGGAGGAGGCTTGGCGGGTAACAGGGACACCCCAAGCCTGGATCTCCGGAGTTTCCGCAAAAGCCCCCTGTTTCCTGACTCCTTTCACTAGGCATGCAATGACATGCAAAGCGCACATGCACATACACAAAAAGAGAGAAAGAAAAAAAGAAGAAATAAAAAGTTCTTCAAAGTTTCAAACCAGTAGCTTCAGCTTTCTTTTTAAGGAAGAGCAATGGTAAAGGAGAAATTAAACTCAAAGTCTGTAATACAGTAGACATCTGAAAAGAAATTAATGCAACAGAAAACAATTATAAAAAGCAAGCAGAAACTGTGAGCTTGCAAAAAAGAAAATGAGGCAATCTTTAGCTCTGTATGACTCTTGAATGTGGGTTTGGAATTTGTAAAGAAAATACTGGCAAATTAAATCCAACAGCTGAGTTTCACGCCAAGAACCCACGATTTGTTTAACTTTGAAGAATTAGTAAAGGAATTCTATCCTATGTTATAGGCAGAAAAATATGCCAAAAACATCCACATGAGGCCACTCAGAAGCTGTAAATATATGCCATTACCTGGCTAGGAGAAGTTAGAGTGCAGATGTAGAGACTGCCAATCAACTGACTGAGAGGAGATAATTTCCAGGTGAGGTCAACACTGTCACTCAAGTCCTGATTGCTGAAAGGAGGGGGCTGGAGGCTCAGAGCCAAAGAAGATGTGGTGGGAAAACAGGTCAGAACTACGTGGCTGGTGACATTGGGAGAGGAAGGGGCCCACAAGCCAAAGAACACTGAGAAGAAAAAGGACATCGCTGGAAGTACAGTTCAATAGTTCAGAGCCTGCCTGGGATTCGCAGGGTCCTGGGTTCCACCCTCACCCCACCTGCAAAAAAGACCAAGGAGAGGAAATGTTTTCTCTTAGGGAGATCTAAGAAGAAACATATATGACCTTGCTGACACTTTGCTTTTGCCTGAAGAGACTGATTTTAGACTTTGAGCTTTCAGGCCATAAGATGAAAACTTCACTGTTTTCAGTCACAGAGTTTCTGAGTCTATTAAAGTAGCTATAAGAAAGTAATACACCATTTTTGATGAATAAAAATTTTCTCATTTCTTTTTACACAATTGAATACCTAGGGGCTAGAGGGATGGCCCAGCAATCAAGAGCACTTAGTAGAGTCCCAGAGGACCCGGGCTCAGTTCCCAGCACACACATTGGGTAGTTCGCCACTGTGTATAATCCCAATTCCAGGCTCTGACCTCCTCAGGCACTGGACACACACACACACACACACACACACACACACACACACACACAGTGTATAGATGTTTGCAGGCAAAATACCCATACCCATAAAATTCTTTAAAAAAAAAAAAAAGCAGATGTTTAAAGACAGAGAATATAAGAATGTCTGAGATGTGGTGACAACATTAGGACACCACTCTGAACTGGTGAGGACAAAATGAGCCAACATCCGGGGAAGGGAGAGAAGTCAATATACATGGTGCTGGAGCCCTAAGGTTTTTCTGAGAGAAAGGCAAACGGGGATGAAAGGCAAAGGGCAAATAAGAGACAAAAGTAACCCATGACAGAGCCCCATGGAGACTGCAGGCATCCATGCATGGTCTTGTTTTACCTGTGGTGATAGGTGAGGAAAATAAAGCAACTCTCCTTGAACTTGGAGCTGTGGAGCCTTTGACCAAACTGCTCACCCACGAAGACAAAATCGTAAGAAGAAATGCTACGATGATCTTTGGCATCATGGCTTCTAACAGTGAGTAACAATGTTTTGAAATGAACAGTGTCCTCCTTTCAAATTTTACTTTAAGGGATTTGCCCAAGTTTTATTTAAACAAACTTTAATGTCAGCAAATGTAACAATGTCAGTGCAGTGTAACAAATAATTTCAGATTTTTAAAAGATGTACATGTTTAATTTATATCTGCATGGGAGTGCAGACACCTGTGGCGGCCAGAAGAGGGCGATGGATCGCCTGGAGCTGGAATTTCAGGTGGCTGTGAGCTGCCTAAGGTGGGTGGTGGGAAGAGCAGCAAGAGCTCTTGAAATCTCCAGCCCAGACTTAATATCTAATGGATTTTTAACAGATATACAAAAGATGTGCAGATAACTATAAAATCTCACCTCAAAACTGGTGATGATGCTCTAGTTTAACAGGTTAGGAAAGAAGTTATCTCTTAAAATGATTTCCCCCCTCAAGTTAGCATAGCACACATCAGCTATACTCCATATAAACTTCCTAGTGAATGAAACTCACAGCAGAGTTTTGATAAATTGACTTTTTAAAACTAACTTTTGCTTATGTAAAAAATAGTTGTATATAATTTCCTCTTAAAGCAGATCTATCATTTGATTCAAATATTTTCATATAGTAAGGAGTGTGGTAACGTAGGATTGGCCAAAACAAGCTCTTCTGGCTTTTAGAATAGCAGTTTGGGTACTGCAGATGTAGCTGCGGGGTCGCATGTGGGCAGGTAGGTGGCAGAGAGGAGAGAGGTCATATCTATGCTCAGTGTGAGCCTGTGAACATCTGAGTGATTGATTGGTAGCCTAACACTCCCTCAAAAAACAGCCTGAGATGACCACCAGTCTGGCACCACCCAGGCCCCGATGGGCTCCCAGGGCGGGGAGTGAGCCAGGGACTAGAAGATCCCTGCCTGGGACTGCTGGGCCCTGGGCGGGAGTGACCCCAAAAGAGAAAACCCTCAAATGGGGCTAATTGGGAGGCTCCTGGAGAGCAGCGAGCCCAAGATGACCACAGTCAGGTGCTGAACAGGCTTGGGGAGAGGGGAAGGCCATGCCCAAGGTGACCCTTGTCCAGTGCTATAAAGCACACGAGAGGCATATCACTTCTGAGGCCACTTCTGAGATGACCCCAGACACTCAGGAGACCCTGGGCACCACTGTGCCATGAAGGAGGAGCCAGTAACTGGTGCAAAAATAGAAGAGGGAGAAACAGAAGGATGTGAGTACAATGAGGAGAGGCAGAACTGGAGACTCAAGGGTAGTGAGGAACAGCCTGATGTGATACCAGGATGGGGTCCTGGCCTGTGCTGCCACCGGGGCCACATCCTGGTGTGTGGCCCAGCAGCAGGGGACTGTTACTACCAAGGGCCAGGCAGAAGTCCCTGCTGCCCAGGAACACATTGCTGTCCGAGGGCTGTGCCCCACCCCTCGTTTGGACATCATGGGAGAGGGGAGAGCTGACCCCAGCAGCTGCAGCACTCGGGAGAGCAGGCACTGCGCCTCGCCTGGGCAGCAGGGTAGAGCTGGCCCAGGTTGAGGTGGGTAGGGGTGGCTGGAGAGCCGGCCCTGAGAGCTGACCAGCGGCACTCTCAGGCCCAGACCAGGGCTTTGAGTCGGCCCCACCGCAACATCTGCCCCATGAGTGAGCTGCTGGAGAGCATGGAGGGGCCAGTCATAAGATCCAAAACTACAGCATCTCCATGACAAGGGCAACAACAGGATGTCTGCAAGGAGTCCCAGTGCGGCTCCAGTGGTGACAGCGCAGCAGAAGCCCGAGGCCTCGAACCCGAACAATGGCGATGAACATTTTCAAGCAAGGAAGTGTGGACAAAGTGTATCCTGTGTGACTCACTGACATACCACAGCTTCCACAAGGAGACTTTTTCCCTCTGTTGGGAAGAAGGTTTCAGGGGTAGAAATCAGGTGTAAGTGGAGGCAGCAATGAGTGGGATTGGGGTGCAGGATGTGACACGCACAAAGCAACAATAAGATGTTAAAGGAAAATGGCAGTTTGGCAGAGCCATGTCAACAGCGGTGGTCTCTGACTTGGGAGCAGGATGTAGATTGTCCAGGCATAAGTCACTTCTCTGTGTTTTAGGGTAGTTTTTGAATCACAAACTTTGTAACTTACAAAAAAGCTTCAAAAAATATATGAGCCAATACATTTGTAACTACAAAAATCTTTAATGAAGAATGAATTCAACCATTGAACAAGGGTAGCCAAAAATGAGCCAGTCTCCCAGTTACAGTACACAGATTTAGATTTCTCGTCGACTTTTTTCTGTTTGTTGTATTCTTTATTTCTCTTATTTGTTCATTTATCGATCTATCATCTAATAACGATATTTATTTCTTTTGAAATTTTCCAAATTGTTGGTGAAAATTCTCAGATCAGGGTATATAAACTGCACTTTATGGGTTTCTAGGGGATTTTGTGACCATAAGTTACTAAGAATTAGGGCTAGAAACATGGCTCAGCAGTTAGGAGTACACACTGCTCTTGCAAAGGCCCAGAGTTTGGTTCCCAGGGTTTGCTTTATAACTGACTGCAACTCCAGATTGAGGGCTCCATGGCCTCTGGCCCTCCTCTTGCACTTACATACACATCCCCCCCCCCACACACAGATGTGATTAGAAATTTAAAAAATGAAGAAGTGTTTTCACATTTGTATGTCTAGAGGGGTTCTCTAGGACCTGCAGGCTCCAGAGCCCCGTGAGATGGTTTGGATCAGTGCTAGGATAACAGGCCACATCTGCTTGCCCAGCAGGGCAAGAGCTGCTGCCCTCAGAGTTCCAGTGAGTACCTGGCTCTCCCGTCTGACTAATGACTAATGACGACAGGCCATGAGCACATAGCTGGTATGGTGAGCAATGACGGTGTAATGAAAGCTTTCTTTAGATTCCATGAATTAGACGAGAAAAACATGATTTGAATTGATTGCCTTGTGTTGTGTGATGACGCAGCTAACACATGGCCTCCCCAGCTGCTTGGCAAGGCCTCCTCTTCTTGGAAGAATCAATATGTTCACGGCTGTAGCTCTGCTTCTCACACGCGTCCTAGAAAATGTGGATAGAAGATAAGCAGGAAGCCAGTGGATCTGAGCAGAGTTATGCCTCAGGGATAATCTGTACATGAGCAGCCCCCTACACTGCCCAATTCCAGCATGGTCGGCATGAGCACCCCTCCACACTGCCCAGTTCCAGCATGGTTGGCATGTCTCACAGCAGCAGTGGATGCTCCTGAGAAACACAGGCCCTCCTGTGGCTTTCCTACTCGGTAACAACTGTGCTCACAGTAGATGAGCTGATGTTTCAACAGAATACTGGGTGCTGAAACTTCCTGTGAGAGACAGCATTCCCTTTCACAACCTCTTCCTCTTCCACATCCTCTTCCTCCTCCTCCTGTTTCTCCTCCTCCTTCCCCTCCCCCTCTTCCTTTCTCTTTCCCTTTTTCCCTTCCTTGCCTTTTCTTTTTCTCCTTTCTCCTTTCCCCCTTTCCCTTTCTCCTCCTTAACTTCTGCTCACTCCTGCCACTCCTCTTTCAACCCCCCTGTCTCCCTTTTCTTTCCATTTTCTTCCTCCTCTTCATCCCCCTTCCTCCTCTTCTGGAAATAACTGAGCTGTGTGTCTGTGCCAAACTGGAGTGATTAAAAAAGACATTGACGCTTTCTTTACTGGACCTTCATTTTTGGTCAAAACATAGCTGTTGCTGCTGTCTTCTCCTGCCAGATTGTATTGAATTACTTGAGAGCACACAGGAGATGCAGAGATTGCAGTCAGCTGCAGAGCACTCACCAGAAACCCCATGTCAGGTGTTAGGTGTCAGAAACCAGCTGCAGTGGAAAGATGGTGCTGTAAACTGGTGGAAAGGCCAGGAATGAATTACATGGTAAAACCAAGATTTGGTGATTGAGAAAGTAATCAAGCCTGATCTAGTGGTACCCACCTGGAATGTCAGTATGGGGGACGCTGAGGAATTTCAGTGACTTTGGCCTGGCCACCATCATGAATTCTAGACCAACTGGGACTCCACAGTGAAGCTCTGTCTGAAGAGTAAATGTAATCAAAGCAGATCTGAGAAGTGGGAGTAGGTACTAAAGTTGTTGACAGATCTGCCTCAACCAGAAATCACAGGCGGCACCTGGCTTAGTCAGGTGATGCTCCTCTGGCCACAGCCTGTGTCAGGATTTCCATCTAGCTGCCACAGTGGAGGAAATTCACAGTCGAAAAAGAAGGAACAGAGACTAATACCGTATGTAGAGTGCTTGAAAGAGCAGTGTGACTGTTTTTCTATGTTTGTTTTTAATCTCAAGAAAAAAAAAAAGAGATTAAATTCTTTGAACAATCCAGTGTCAAAAGCAGAATGTTAAATCCATCACTTAGAGCACCGGTTCACAGAGCTGCAACAAACTAGATCCACCAACTGAGCAGGGGGACTGGGCCCACAGGTGGGACAGACGCACAGAGCAGTTCTTGCACATCTCTGATCATCTGACCTAAATTTTATGCCGTAAGACTCTCTAATGAAGACTTGTAGCTTGTTTGTGCAAAGCAAAGTGTAGTGTCAACCTGAGGCCACAGGAACATGCAGCTATAGGCGTTGAGTGACTGCCAATCATGCAGAAAAACAAACAAACAAACAAACAAACAACAATTGGAAAGTGAATAGGTACCAACGTACCTGTCAGGGACGCATCTCTACATTTTGAATCATATGGGGACGTTTTCTATATATGGGGAAAGTCTTTGGAGATCTAACATCCCAGAAATAGTTTGTAGGCTTTTTTTTTCAGGCATAAAAAAAAAAAAAAAAAAAAAAAAACTTTGGTACAGTTTTCACAAAAATTGTTCTGAACTATGCAAGCAGGCATCCTTTCTTCCTAAGAAATGATGGGTGGAATTTGGTTCCCTGAGCCTTGCAAAGATCTAAATATCATGCTGAGGCTGTTACCTGCCAATCAGTGGGGGAGAAAATGCATCTTTAAAACCTGGTGTTGGACCATAAATGTCATCCCCTGCTGGAACCACCACAGCTTGGGCCTGAGATCCTGACTGAGTTGATGTAGGGCTGAAGAAATCAGATACGTGGTGGCTTGAATAAAAAAATGGCCCCCATAGGCCCATAGGGATGGCACTATTGGGAGGTCTGGCTTGTTGGAGTAGGTGTGTGTCACTGCACTTTGCTACGCTGTGGGTTCTTATTTTTCCTGCTTTTTATCTCCTCCCACCCCATCACATTTCACCCCCATCGCTAGATGGGAAAGAAATAAAAATAGAGGGGAAAAGAGAGATAAAGATCCTTGAGTCTAATCTCTTCTTGTTTCTTCTTTGAGCACAACTACTAACACACTGCAACCAAGGCCCCTGAATGACCAACCACCACCACCAACACCTCTCAGGGCCCTAGCACTTATATACCCTCTGAAAACTTCCCAGAATTTCAGACATCACACAATAAAAAATAAATAAACTATCTGCAGCTGGCAAAACCAAACCTCTGCAGAGCATGAGGCAAGTCATAGTCAGCTGCTGCTGTGGATGGCCTGAAGCAGCCCCACATCCCCACACCTGGAAGTAAAACAAGAACATACACTTACATTTCTGGAATTTTAAAAAAGAAACCCAAATTCCAGAATTGTCTCTACAGGCGTGGCCTTGTTAGAGGAAGTGTGTCATTGGAGGCAGGCATTGTGGTCTCAGAAGCTCAAGCCAGGCCCAGTGCTTCACTGTCTCTTCCTGCTGCCTGCAGACCCAAATATAGAACTCTCAGCTACTCTCCAATACCACGACTGCCTGCATGCCACCATACTTCATGAGGATAATGTTCTAAACCTTTGAACTGTAAGCCAGCCCCAATTAAATATTTTCCTTTTAAAGAGTTGCCATGGTCATGGTATTTCTTCACACCAATAAAGCCCTAAGACATACATACATGAAGAAAGCCTGGGATCACATGGGCTGTACTCTCCCTGATGGAGAGCAGCAACTATTACCCAAAGAACCCAGAACTTCAGTGAGTTTATTATGTACAGCACAGGGAGGAGGGATGAGCCAGTTTCAATAGATTTTTGTAGACAGTAGTCTCTAGGAAGCTTTAGCCAACACTTTCTGTCAACTGTGTCAACATTCACACATGGATCAGAGGAAGGCTTTGCCAGTGTCCTAGCCTGACCCAAGCAAGGCTTTGTCAATTGCCATGAAGCATTGGGGTCATTGTCAATAACACACATTCATTCAGGATTTCCTCTGTTTCCCATCAACCAACACCTCAGGACTTTGCACTTTCTGGAATCTTCTCTGGCCACCTTCAAAGACTACTGTCCATCTGCTGGACTTTCAGTCACATTGAAGAAAAGCCACAGCTCTGAATTTCTCAGAAGGTGTTTAGTGAATGTCAAACCTATTCAGCAATTAATAAGGATGAATTCATCTGAGCCAGCTTGATTCAGTGAACTTTCCTCCAATTCCAGCAGGGCTAATCTTTCCTTACAGGTAAAAGAAATGGGCAGAGTAGATGCAAAACTAAAAAGCAGAGATATCTTTCTTTTTCCTCAAAAAGCTGAAGTTAGCAAGAAGTAGGGACATACCTGGCTAGCCTTAGCCTAACAGAAACCACAGACAAGTGAACCTCAAAAGCCAGTGCATTTCTCTCTAAGCATTATTGACATCTCTAATAATTAAATGGAATGTAAGCAGTATGGATCTCTCAGTCAAAATATGTTAAGATAATTGTTAAGATAATTGTTTGCATTCTGCACAAGCTTGTGAAAAATCAAACTTAAAAACAATTTCAAAATGGAGAGAATAAACAAACATAGGCACCTTCATCGGATGTACACACAACAGAAGCTAAGGCTCTAGGAAAACAGAAAGAGGGGCAGAAAGATTGCACAAGCCAGGGGACTCCCACTGTGAAACCAGGTCTTCCTAAACAAGACCTTGCATGAGGACAAACGCCACAGTGCCAGCGGATGGGGTAGTTGAGAGCTCCACCCTCGATGAGGGAGGAAAGATAAGGTTTGTCCAGGGACAAGCTTGATAGGTTATACAATCCCAAATAGTCAGCTCTAAACACATGGACATATAACAGTGAGTGTACACACACACACACACACACACACACACACAGAGCTGTAACAACAGTAATTAAAGAAGGGTCATGAATTTGAGAGGGAGGGGGGATGTTGGAGGAATTGGAGGGAGAAGAAGGGTGGAAATGATAAATATTATTCAAGTATAAAGTTTCAAAACAAGATTAACGTAGTATGCAAGTACAGGACACTGGAAGCCAGCTTCCCTCGAGTGTTCCAGGTGTATCCCGCACTTTGCTGCTGCCGTGTGCAGGGCTGGTGGAGAGGTAGAATCCAGACGGAGCGGAGGACACTGACCTGGGCATGAAAGCTGCCTCCTCATTGTTGGTGCTTAGACCTCAGTATTCTTGCCCTGAAATCAGACAGAGCACCTGTCTCCTAAAACTTCTCAGTAGTCATTGCCACTATTTTAGTAAGCATTCATATGTGTCTCCTCCTTTGCAGATGATGTTAAAAAGCTGTTAAGGGAGTTGGAAGTCATGAATTCTGTTATTGCTCAGCTCGCTCCAGAAGGTAACTTCACATCCTACATTTATTTCCAAAATAGAACTCATTTCTTTTACGTTTTATTAAGCTACATATTAAAAAGCACTTACCAGCCATCAACTGTGAATTCTCTATAATCTTGCAAATCAGTTTCAACCTTTAAAGAAAGTGTGATGTGAGCAAGATTTGTGGCGCTTTGTTTTCCAAAGCACGCTCCCCGTCTGGGTGTGAGTGTTTTCCAGATGTTCGGAGAGTACACACTGCTGCAGTATGGCCCCAGCCTTGGGGTTCCAGAACCTTCTGCCCCAGCCTGCCAAGCGGTTAGGGTCACGAGTGGGCATCGTCCTTACCCCTCCTCAGAGCTGATGGTGAAGCAGGGCTTCCGTAAACAGCTAACCCGTTGTCTTCCTTGCTTGTGACCTACAGAAGAGGTGGTCATCCACGAGTTCGCAAGCCTCTGCCTCGCGAACATGTCTGTGGAGTACACCGGGAAAGTGCAGATATTCGAGCACGGGGGGCTGGAGCCGCTCATCAGGCTGCTCAGCAGCCCGGACCCCGACGTGAAGAAGAATTCTATCGAGTGCCTCTACAACTTGGTGCAGGTGAGGCTGCCTTCTGATCGGTTTCTGGGCGGAGGACACAGCCCTGCTGAAGAGCTGGCTACAAGCAGGAGGCCCTGAGTTTGGGGGAACGCCGGTTGTGGGGCTGGGGCTGGAGAGATGGCTCGGAGGCCAGGAGCACTTGCTGCCCTGCCGGCGGCCCCAGGAGCAGTTCCGAGCAGCCACCTGGTGACTTAGGCTCCAGCTCGGGGGCTCTGACGCCCCCTTTTGGTGTCTGTAGACCCTGCATGCACGTGCTGCGCAGACACGCAGGAAAACAGCCATACACAGAAAATAAATGTTAAACTCACGGCTGGTCAGCGAGGTGCAGCTGGCGCCCCCCGAGCTTCCCCAGGACGTAGGCTTCCTTCGGGGGTCGGCGGGCCGTCTGTCTGCGGTGGCGGGAGTCCTGGCTGACCGCTCGCGGGGGTTCGCGCCGTTCTTCAGTTCTTCATCCTTCAGCAGGCTCCGGCGACAGGCCGGACAGGGTGACACCGCAGTTAAAGGAAGCTCAGTTTGTGGGAGCACATTTCTGATAGAGAAGAAGTAACTAAAGTAAAGGAGAAAGCTCAGCTTTTGGTCAATCCCCAGAAGATAATGAAGAAGTCAGAATGTGACCTGGAGTGACCGGGAAGTCTTAACGGATCAGAACCACGTGGAAGTTTTGGGAATGATGTTCAAGAATCCTTGAAAAATGGCTTGGTTGTAGATAGTGAGGAACAAGTTTATTCGCTCTGGAGAGGACTCGGCAGTTAAGAGCACTGGCTGTTCTTCCAGAGGACCCGGGTTCAATTCCCAGCACCCCCATGGCAGCTCACCACTCTCTGTAACTACGGTTCTAGGGGATCCGACACTCTCACACCAATCAAATAGAAAAGATGAAGAGATGACTAAATTAGCTTTAAAACTAGCAAAAGCACTAAGAGAAATTGTTCCGCTTGACTCAAAGAATGATCCTGAAATTAGAAAAAAATGTTCAAAAAAGGAAAGGTTATTCAGAGAAAGTTCAGCTGGAGAACTACAACAAAAATGAATTTCTGTCAACCCAACCTCATAATCTAAGAAAGATACTAGCACCAACATCTTATTGTGACAGTGAAAGTGAATATTCTGCTTCCAACTCGGAGGATGATGAAGTGGTTGCGATAGATGATGAAGGAGACACTGAGGTGGTCCGGTCCTCTCTGAAGAGTCAAGTTCAGAACATACTCTTTCCAGCTCCTGTTCCCAAAGGGACACCAGCTAAGAAGACGAAAAGAGACAAAGCAAGTGACTTGGTAGAAGAATATTTTGAAGCTCGTAGTAGTTCAAAAAATGTCTTAATGTCTGATAGAACACTGCAGAAGCTAAAGAGAGCTAAACTGGACCAGAAATCTCTTTGTAAGTTACTGAGCAAATTCTCATCTTCCTTTTCTGCTGAAATCGAACAATTAAATCAACAGCATGAGAAAGTGTTTCCTAAGGTGTAGCTCCAGCCACACCTTGGTTCAACACTGTGCTTTATGGTTTGGGGTCCAAGAGAGATTTCAAGGCACCATGCTTCAAGATTCCATTCATGTTGTCATCAACGGCTTCTTTCCTGGGATCAGTGTGAAATCTATAACCTTGATCATATGGTTACTTTCCAAAGTGTTCTGGATCAGCAAGACTGAATAAACAAATTTAAAGAAGACTCTTCTTCAGAACTCTTCCTTCTTATCCACAATTTGACAGCCAAATGTTAAGAGGAGACAACAGCCAGCAAATTCTTGGACAGGTGTCATGTTCACAGAACGTGTACCTTACGGCATCTATTGATCCCCTCAGTGGTCCTCCCGTGTGGGATCATGCAAAGCAGTCTTTATAATCGGCTTTGGTATGAAACTACTACATACAGCCTTGAGGCTGAAGAAACCTCCTATGAGAATTCCCTTCTGGTTAAACAGCCTGGATCTCTACCACCAAGTGTTCTGATTCATGTTGTACAGAGCCTTCCCCCAGGGCAAGGGAATCGGATTCTCAGGCTACTTATAAAGTTCCAGCTGGGTAACCAGGACAGCCCTTCCTACATCGGACTTTGTTTTCAAGATTTTTCTTGTTAACAGTGATCTCATACTCCAAGCCCAGCTAACTGAATTTAGGGACCACAGCTTGTAAGCACGGAGAAGGGGACCGATGGTGTAGAATATTTGTTAATTCCTGTTGACAGCAGAACACTGGCAGCTTTCTTGGAGAAGCAAGAGGAGGAGGCTTAGACTGCCCTGGCCCTTGAACGCTGTGTGGAAGACTCACTGTGCCCAGCTGCTGCTCCTGGTGTGAGAATGCTGGTTTACAGCTGACATTAGGTCATCTGTCCAGCATGCAAGTGTTCTACTGTCTCCAATACACTCATCATTGCAGTGTAGCCATTGGCTCGCATGCAGTCATCACTGAGTTGGGAAAAAATGTGCCTTTAATTTGTTACCTCTCTGGAGACTTCTTGCTAGATGAACAGTATGCTCAGGGGTTATTTGGAACTAGTTGGTTTTATTGTTTATTTTTGATTGTTTCATGCTGGGTACCATCTCCGACTTTTAGGGCAATCTAACACTCCACGGGTGAATTACTACAAGCGCACATGTCTCAGGTCATCAAAGCGCAGAGCAGCCGTCACAGAACTGACGGGGAGGAGGTGGCCACCCCTGCCTCCTTCTGAAATGATGATAAAAGATATTGGTGGCCTGAGGTGGTCCACCTTCTCACTGTGGACGGACACACTGAAGACAGGCGATACTGAGGGAGTGGGGGGACCGTGAGGGTGTATAGGTTATGTGTCCAACCTAGAAAACATTAAAATAGTGAATATCTGTACCATGACCTTGACTTTTTGATATAAGTGAGAAGACAGGCTGGGGAATACAACCTTGATTTAATTTTAATAATTGTTTTCAATTATTAAATGAAAATTTAAAAATCATTATTCTTGTAAAAAAAAACTCACTAGTTTTGCACGGTTGTTCTCAGCACATTTAGTATTTATCAGTCAGAATAAAATAATTGACATTTCATGTAGATGCCTACCACAAGAAATGTATTTCAGTGTTAAAAGAGCAAAATGGTGTGCAAGTTAAGGTGGGATTCATTTGATTCTGCAGAGTTTCCTTTAAAACGGAAAATCCACAAATCATGTCCAATATGGGAAGTGTCAACAACAACACAAAAGGAGGTCTTACCTCAAAGGAAATGAGAAAGCTTATTCTTTTTTTAAGATTTATTTATATATGTTCTGCCTGCACTGGATCTCATTACAGACATTTGTGAGCCACCATGTGGTTGCTGGGAATTGAACTCAGGACCTTTAGAAGAACAGCCAGTGCTCTTAACCTCTGAGCCATCTCTCCAGCCCAAGAAAGCTTATTCTAAAGCCAAATTTTAGTAACCTTGGCCTGGAAAATGGGGAGTTAGGTCACCTCAGATTCTGTGTCCCCTTGTGGAGGCAGGTACATGAGATTTTATAGTGACCAGAGTAAAGAAAATCCCACGTGAAGACAAGCTGAAAATACAGCAGTGGGTGCATCACAGAGGCAGTTACAGCCAGAGGGAGGTCTCTTCTGTGGGCTTCCAGCCGTGTCTGCTGGCAGTCTTAATTGTGGTTGGGAGGAGCTTAGAGTCTGCTAAAGCAAAAGATGCCAAAAGACCTTGATTTATTAGCTTGTTAGTTTTGAACATAGCACGGTGAGCAAGGATCAACTGCCCAAGACAAGGTAATCAGGCTCTGGACCTGCACTGTTCCAACCTCTCACATCACTGCTCAGATAAACGTCAGCCTTTGCAGTCAAAACTTCTTTCCAGAAATTCTCATTCATGAAAGCTAGCCATTAGGGCAGTCTTAACGGGCTCAGAGCATCAGAGAGACAATGGCTAAAGCTTTGGACTGTTCATTGGTAAAAAACTTGTCACCTGAGTCAGCTCTGTGCAATTCATTATTCAGAACAGCAAAATGCTATTGTGTCAGGATTCTTTCCTGTAGAGTAGAAAATAGCTGTGGTCCCCTGTACCCTCTCCTTACCCACAAACAGGTCAGTTTGGAGCAGTGGTTCTCACCCTTCCGGACGCTGGGATCCTTTCCTTGTGTTGTGGTGACCCCCAACCATAAAATTATTTTCGTTGCTACTTCAGAACTGTAATTGTGCTGTTGCTGTGGATCATAGTGTAAATGCCTGATATGCAAGATATCTGATACATGTTTATCTGATACAAGATACCTGACATCTGATCCCCAGAGGGTCGCAGGTTGCTGGATTAGAAAATGCTGCTTTAGAAAGACTTATGTAATCTAGGCTCAGATGGCAGGGGAAGAGAACGCCTCCTTTCAGTGGACTAGGGGAAGGAGAGGGGGGGGAAGGGTGGGACTGGGAGGAGATGAGGGAGGGGGGCTACGATCCAGATATAAAATGAATAAATTGAAATAAATAAATACATACATAAATGAAACAAAGGACTTACCAGCCTTCTCTGCTGCTTTTTCTACAAATTTTCCAATTGAGCCTGCTAAGCTTTAGGTCAGCTGAAATCCTAAGACAGGGCATGAGGGGAAGGGGAGAGGGCTGATTGAGAGATAGTTTCTAGGCAGTGAGATGGAAAGGGGTTCAGAAAACAGTCTCTGCCTCAAATGGTCCTTGCCACATGACTTCTTCATGCTCCTGAAACAACCATCCTCTGAGGAAGTTCAGCCCTTTTCTGCTGTCTGCTGTCCAGGATCCCCTGGGACTTCCCTCACCATCCCAGGTTACTCTCCTGCTTCTGTGATGAAACACTCTCAAAAAGCAACTTCAGGGAGAAAGTGTTGATTCTGGCTCACAATTCCAGAGTATGGAGTTCCTTGTGGCAGGGAAGTGAAGGTGGCAGGAGTGTGCAGCTGCCAGTCATGTGACATCCATCATCAGGAAGCAGAGGGCTAGGAATTTCTGTGCTCAGCGAACGTCCTCCATTTTTCATATCGTCCAGGAACCACTGTCCAGACAGTGGTCCCACAGACAATGAAGGTGAGTCTCCCCACACCAGTCAAAGGAATCAAGGTAATCCCACAAGCTAAGCTTCGTCTAGATACCTCTCACTGGTGTGCACACAGGCTCGTCTCCCGGGGGATTTTGCATTATTCATAGTTGTCAGTCAACACTGTGCAACTCCCTCAGCTGACTCAAAACTTCCTGTCCCTGGATTTGTGGTTTTAATTCTTGACTCCCCATGGTTGTGTTTTTCTGCTTCTTTCAAATGAAAATAAAGAAGCATTACCTTTATAGTTCTTTACGACAGAGCACTGGGGACTAAGGAGCTATTAGGCTGCTGTAGCTAAATGCCACAGACTGGGTGACTCAAAACAAGAGTAAGTTCTGGCTGTAGAAGTTCAAAGTTGTGGTGTGGATATGACTTACTCTCCAGACACTGAGCAGAACCATTCCTCAATTGCCCAGCTTTTGCTGGGAGCCAGCGCTCTAGTCTCTGCCTTTGCTGCCTCCATCCTCACATCAATCCTACTTTAGAAGGATACCATTAAGAACCCACTGTGCTCCAGAATAACCCCATCTTGCCTAATCACATCTGCAGTGACTTTCCAAGTGTGGTGGCATTCTGAGCCCCTGGGGGACACGATTATATTCATTGAAAGGCCACCTCTAACTTTTACGCATGAAAGAAGCTGGACATTTAGAGGTTGGGTGAAAGATGAAGGAAGGCAGCCTAAGCTGAGTGTGGGTCCCCCTCTGTGTCTGTTGTGTACTGCACACACGTGTGTGTAGGGCTGTGCATGACTGTGCGTGTGCACCGAAGCCAGAGATGGATGTCCAGGCTTCTTCAATTATCCTCTACCTTAGTTTTTTGAGCCAGGGCCTCTCACTAACTGGCTCTTGATGATTAAGATGGACTGACTGGCCCCTGAGTTCCAGGAATCTACTGACTCTGACCCCCCGGAGCGAGAACACAGGCATGCTGCCGCCCTGGCGTCTTTCAATGGCTTCCGGAAGGTCCAGACCCATTTCCTCAGGTGTTTGTGGCAAACACTCACCTGACTGAGCCGCATCCCCAGCTCCCTTTCCCACCGTTAATGTTATTTTAATCACATTTGAGGTTGTTTTTTTTTTTTTTTTTTTTTTTTTTTTAATCATTTTTTATTTTTTTTTTTTTTTTTTTTTTTTTTTTTTTTAAATCATGATTTAGTAGCCAAAGTTTAGGAACTTCACTGCTCAATACAATACCCCTTGCCCCACTGTTGCTGCCAGCCCTGGCTCATTACATTCAGGGCTGTAACTACACTGACTCTCTGAGATCGTAAGTATCGTAAGTAAAGGTCATTCATTTGAAAATATGCTGCTCTGAACTTGCACTCAGGGCCGTCTGCAGCACTGTATGTATGCCGCTATTTCACAAACAACCCCTTGGTAAAGAATCCATGCCATGATTGCAGCAAATAGTGTTTGCAGCAGTGTATCAGTGCGAAAGGAATTGTACTGTGTACAAATGTTAATGCGATGCTGTTTATAGAGGTTTGCAGCAACAAATCCTGAAGGTCAGAGATGATGATGACTTCCTGTTGACAGTGTCTGCATACAGAAATATTTTATTACAGTCTAGTAAGAGTTTTCTTTTATCTATGAGTTATTTTGGAGTCTGGAATCAAAGATGGGGAAATTATAACATAATAATGTTCTCTGCCAGAACATAGACACTCTCCATTCTGGAGATTACATTTTGTTGTAGAAAGGACTGATGTGCTCATTTGTATTTCGTGGCAGGATTTTCAGTGTCGGACTACACTTCAGGAACTTAACCCAATCCCTCCTATGTTAGAGCTCTTGAAGTCGGAGTATCCTATCATCCAACTGCTGGCTCTTAAAACCTTGGCTGTCATCACGTGTGACAAGGAGTCTCGGGCAATGCTGAAAGAGAATCAAGGGCTGGACTACCTCACCAAGATCCTGGAGGCCAAGGTACTCCACGTGTTCGCACTCATTCAGCTCTCTGGCATGTCCTAAGGCCTGGATGTGTTTAATTCTAGTAAGCAGAGTGTACGGGAGTGAGTCATTAATTGTTGTGTAAAGCCTGTAGAGGCCATCTAGAATGAAAGGAACAAGCCTTCTGGCTTTGAAGGCTTAATTTTCTGAAGCACCTAGAACCAGATGCATGCTCTCTCTATGCATCATAATTGTCTGTTGGAGGAAGCAAGAAGATGACTTCTCTACACATCGGGGAACACTGGAGGTGAGGTCGCACACTTGCCACAGTGTTTGCCAGGAGTGTCTCTCCCGCTTTAAGAGTCTGTGTGTGAGCCGGGGTAATGGTGTATGCGCGTATGACTACAGTGTTAGCAGGCACATGTGTGAGGAGGCCAGCGCTCAGCATCAGGTATCCCCCTCGGTTGCTTTCCACCATTTCTGAGACAGTGTGTGTCACTGAACCTGGAGCTGACCAATTCAGCTTGACTGATAGGCCAGCAAGCCCCAGGCATCCTCCTGTCTCAGCGTCCCCAGTGCTGGAACCATGAACACACAAGTGCTCAGGTCTGCAGGCTTGCCTGAAAAGCACTTCACTGGCTGAACTATTTCCTTCGACTTCTACAATACATTCCTAATGCATGAACTGCAAATAATTAAATTATTAAAATTTGTGTAAAATCTATGTATGGAAAATGCAAAATAATGTTAAGGATGACTTACATAGAGGGCTACACCAACCCTGTGGATCGTATCACAATTTTAATGTGTCAGTTTTTATTGGATGTAGTTAGACATGGAAATAATCATTTGTTTTCAATTTGTCTGGGCTACTGTTTTGATTTGGCTCCTTCCCTTGTTCTTCACTTCTGTCTTCTGATCTTTTTTTTTTTTTTTTTTTTGACAAAGTCTCACTTGTAACCCTGACCTATATAGACCAGGCTGGCCTCTAATTCACAGAGATCAATGTGCCTCTGCCTCCTGGGTGCTGACAATAATGGAATGTGCTACTGTAGCAGGCCCTGTCTTCATCTTTTTTACCCTTTAAATTATACTCTTCAAAAGAAATCAAGGACAAAGTCACACATCCAACTAATACAAAACAACTGTCCTGTGTCCATCAGAAAACACACCACACCTTACCCTGGAATGAGTGCAAAGTTCGTGGGTGACATTTATTCTTCTTATGTTTCAGAAACTTAAATCCCATGATGTAAAGGTAATGAAAACCGAACACTAATTCATAATTAACCATCTCAAGTTGTAAGATAAGAGGACAAGAGAGTGAAAAAACAAAGTTATATATTTAGAACGCATGAATGAAAACAGATGTGTGCACAAGCACCCTACCAAATGAAGGACAAGCAATTTCAGCTGTCATGGCTGTAAGGAGTGACGTGGCCATGACTGACATTCATCACTGCCTCCTTTCATTAACCTAGGTTTCTTTTGCTCTCAGCAATTCATAAAATCCTATACAAAATAACAAAAAAAAAAAATTCGGAAGCCTGCAGATGATGCTCCAACGTTAGAGTGAGAGGCTGGGTAATTAATTGATCAGGCGGTAGCCTGTCTCTGTCATCTCTTAGTTTTGGAAGCTGATTGCCTGCACTTAAGTAATAATTTTAATCCTTCTCAAATTTCTGATGGGGCTGATAGTTAGAATTTCACAGTTAGGCTTAAGTTCTTTAGGATTTAAGACAATGTTTTAGGTCTAAAAAGATGTTTTTTAAATTGATAAATACAAGCTATGATAGAGAATGATTTAGGTACAAAACTTTAGACTCAGATAGGATAGATAGCATATTCTTCAAAGTCACCAAACACGAATGAGCTAAACATTTTGAATGTAACTTTTATATATGGCTTTTCTGATTACTTCATAACTGTTCTTACTGTATGTAGTTTATTATAAATAAAGAAAGAAGAAAAAAAGAATGATGAGAGATGCCATGCCAATGCCTGTGCCTTGCTTCTAGGACCTGTGTAGCTAACCGAGAAATAGCACTGTATGTCAGACAAAAAGGCCATTCCAGAATTCTATCAGTCTGCTTGCTTTGAGGGTGATAGTGAAGATGGCTTCCTGCTGAACTTCTCTAAAGTGAAAGGAAGCCCGTGCTCACAAGTGCGGTGGGTGGAATACAATACTGGATTACCTCTGCTCCAGCTCTCCGCTTTCGGGAGGCTACAGCTTTGCACTGCTTTCGGAACCACGTGGTCCTTCCAGCAAGAATCCATGCTCACACTGCTTTTCCCCACTACTTTCAAGATTTTAGGGAACATGTTTACCTTCAGCTTCTGTCCTGTTCCAAAAAGTACCTTCTTGAACTGGAGGTTACAGCTCAGTAGTAGAGAGCCGCAGAGACAAGGCCCCGCTTTCATGCTGAGTACTGCAAAAAAAAAAAAAAAAAAAAAAAAAATCTATACCTTTTTCCTGGGAATTTTATATTTGTATTTGGTGAAAGATAATATGAGAAATTTCAATTCTCTGTAATTCCTATATGTTTTCTTTATTATTTTATCCACAAAACATTTTGAAGTAAGAGAAATGAGAAAAGATTAGGCAAGTGGTGGGGGATGAGCTGCTGATAAGAACTGCTGTTCCCGTGGTCTCCATCAACTCAGAATTAACCATACTCTGCTCTGATGAGTCCAGCATCTTCTCCTAGTCAAAACTGAAAAGCTATGGTGGTTTGAATGGGAAATGTCCCCATAGGCTCATGGGTCTGAACACTTGGTACCCAGTGAATGATGAGGCGCACAGCAGATTTCATATGAAAGAGGTTTATTAGATGGAGATGAAGAGAGAGAGAGAAGAGAGGGAGACATGATGGGGGGAAAGAGACGGGGGCTCTCCGACAGAGAAAGGGGAGAGGGTAAGAGTCAGGAGAGCAAGCGAGAGAGGGGGACAACGTGGCAGGATGATCCTTTTAAGAAGCAATGTGACCACGCCTGCCACATGATGATATAGGTACCCAGAAGCAGTTTCCTAAATGCTAACATTCCTCCCTTTTTCTATAATTAAAGAGTGAGGAATACTAGCACCCAGATGGTAGTGCTGTTTGGGAAGGTCATGGAACCTTTAGGAGTGATCCTCAGAGGAGGAAGTACATCACTGGGGGGGGGGGACTTATAGCCTTATAAGCTTATAGCCTTACCTCACTTCCTGTTCTCACTGATTCCTGATGACTTGTGCAATGTGAGTGGCCAGCCTCATGTTCCTGGTCATGAGGGACAACGTCCCCTTGGAACTGTAATCTGGAATTACAGTTTACTTTCTCCCGTAAATTGCCTTGGTCAAGCATTTTGTCAACGGAGCTTGTAAAGCAGCCAAGAAGACAGCTTTCAAGCGGTGCTTGTTTGTATTGTTAGGACTTGGGCGACCTTCATGTAGAAGCGCTTGCAGTGGTAGCCAACTGCCTGGAGGACATGGACACAATGGTGCTGATGCAGCAGACAGGAAGTCTCAAAAAACTGCTTTCGTTCGCAGAGAACTCCACAGTTTCTGACATTCAGAAGAATGCAGCCAAAGCCATTACCAAAGCAGCTTATGATCGTACGTATCCCCTAACATGATCTCAGCATACGTCTCCCTCTTGTGTTCTTAAACACTGGAGCGTCTGCCTGCTTTAAACACCTCTCTGAGAAAAGCAGTGTACGTAACACTTAGCACCCAAACATCTCACTGCCAACAAGTTAGAGCACAGATTGCATTGTGTGTGCTTGTGTGTGTGCTCGGGAGGGGTACGTTTACAAACTTAACACCACTTAATTATAGGCCCATTTTTTAAAATCGCTTCATTATGATTTAAGCTTTAAGCCTTTATTTTTCCCCAAATTGGAATAATACAGAGTGTTTGTAATACTGAATGACATCCAAGAACTGTCAAGTGTCAGCTGGAAGGTAATAGTGCCATGTCACGGAGCCACAGAAAACAATATGCTCATGCTATTATGTACATAATACAGTTTTCATTTCTGCGACAATCTATGTCGTCATCAGTCTGTAAAACAGGAGTGATTAATTACACCCAAAGCACTGAAGATGCAAGGATCTTAATATATGGGCTATTTTGTTAATAAAAGATGGGAGCTTGTTTTCCCCCTTCTGCATAACTACCCTCAGAAATGTGATGGCAGCTTTGACTGTTCCTCTGATTTACTAAACATACATACATCTTTGTATATGTTGTGGAGGACATTGTTTCAGGCATACTGGATTTCCTAAAGGCTCAGCTTTAATGTGGCAAACAGAAGCTCCTGTGAGCGTAGAGTCAGCATAGTGGGGCTTCATGAGTTACACTGTCCACACCAAATCTAAAGATGGGTTGTAACATTGGAGATTTTTAATATGGAAATGTATGCAAGGGGGAAACAGTAAAGAAACTGCTGAAATGGCCTCTCATTATGGGAAAGATTTTTATCGTGGATAAGAGAGAACATCCAGGAGCATCTAGAAGAGCCCAGAGCAGAGAAAAGAAAACATAGCGCACATGGTCAGGGCTACCTGCACGAGAGCAGGAAAGAATAGTGGAGACTGCGACCTAACAAGACAGCAAGAGAGAATGAGGAGAAGAGTGAGCACAGCTGGGGGGGGCAGGTGAGAAGGGTCAGGATGCATGGGGCCTTTGAAGGGTTTAATAAGTATTTGCGAATAGGGGCTGTAGGAGCATGGAGACCGGCCAGCTTGGGCTTTGATTTGCAACCACAGATACATATCAATGGAGCCATATGTCTCTACTGCCAGAGGCAAGAGAAGTGACTCCTTTCCAGGAAGGATAACCTGTTTCACAAGTTCCTCAGGGATGCTGGCTGGTATCTAACCACCAGAAATCCTCTACAGTCCCCCTTGAGCTTCTCTCTCTCTCTCTCTCTCTCTCTCTCTCTCTCTCTCTCTCTCCCTACCCAGCCTGCCTGCAACCTGACCGGTAAGTAAACATTGGCTTGTCCCAGTTCTCCTCATGAGAGCTTAGCTGTTATCGATCACACCTGGCTGGTTCTGTTTTCTTTCTAGTCCAGGGTTCTTGGTGAATTGAGACCCAAAGAGAGGTGTGATAAGATAACACAAGCGCTGTCACACCCAACATGCTTTGCATAACTTCTCTGAGGTCTGGTGCGGCCCCCACTAGTGTGTAATTTTACATTTCATAGTGATTGCATAAAGTGAGGGAGGACGCGATCACGCCAAGGTATGGTTGAGGGGAAGGTTTTGGTTGTAGAGAGGAGGGAGAGCATAGGGAGAGACATCTAGAAGAGTATACTGAGCAGAACCAGCAGAGCAGACCTGGAGGAGAAAGAGATGGGGAGAGAGAAGGAGGAAGATAAAGAGAGTGTGAGCAGAGGATACCAAGAGAGGAAGACAAAACAGAGAGAGCCGAGAGAGAGTGAAAGGCTGGGAGAGGGGAAGCCCATGAGCTCACAGTACAGGGCAGGGTGAGAAGAGCGGAGAAAAGCCATCACGGACTCTGTAACAGGTACTTGTGATGGTCAGAGAACCTGGAAGCCAGCATGTACTTTGATCTGTTAAAAGACACCGGGAATAGCTGTTTGTTCCTGACAGTGATCAGTCATGTGACCGGGCACGGTGGGGCCCCAGGCAGTGTGCCTGGAGTACGAGGCTCAGTACTAGTTCTAACACTGTCACTGTGTGGACCTGCTGACGTGGCTGTGAGCAAACAGCAGCCCCTAAAAACCTGTCCATTCACCCACCCAGTCAGGATTTTCTTTCCATTAACCGAGACAGTCAAGCAAGCAGATACTCATAAAGATGTCAGCCATGTTTATGGAAACACAGGCTCTACTCACGAAGACCACTGCATGAACACTTAAGGCAGAGAAGTCTTAGATTCCAGTAAGTGCTTACAAGCCCAGATGTGGAAACAATAGTGAAAATTTGCTGGGCAAAGAAGATCAGTTCACAGAAAAACAAACAAAAACCAAAAATGAACATGTATGAACGCTAGAGGCGTACAGAGAGTTCCAGATCTGGAAATTTGCAGAATGCCTAGTAAAGGGAACAGAGCAGAACACTGAGCATGTTAATGGAGGCTAGAGCAGCAATGAGGAATCGTTGTGAACCAAGATATTTAACATGAAGGTAGAGCCACTGAGGAGACAGTGTGAGGAGGGAACACTGCACTTTTCACTCTGTAAAGATGAGCACTCTTGCAGTTAGGTTGAGAGATTGGACCAGAACAGGTTGCCATGGTGATCTAGGCGAGGTATAAGGTTACCTGGAAAGATCTGAGAGAGGAGCTGAGAGGTAGAATCCTGACTTAGCATGCATGAGGCCCAGCACCACACACATGCATGCACGAGAGAAGGGTTAACAGGGAGAGCCCTTCTCATGTTCTAATGCACAGTGGGGTAAAGTGCTTGACAATAATCATTTCAAAACAGAGATCACTTTGAGTTCTTAACTCAAACAATGATAGATATCCAAGATGACGGATTTCAGTTAACCTGATTAGTTTATCACATTGCATATATGTACTGAAACTCCAGATGGAATTCCATGTATAATTACTACATATTACTGTGTGCCAATTAAAAATCATACCCCATCTTTCTACTTTGACAAATGTGTTTGTGTCAAAACAAATCACCAAAAGTCTTAGGTCTTGGGAAGTCCTAAGTCAGCGGGAGGCATGATTGTTGCAGAGTGAGGACAGACGTGTGGATTCCCAGCACCCACGTAGAGCATCTGCCAACACGGGGAGGCAGAGGCAGCAGGGTCCCGGGCTCTCTGGCCAGCCAGTCTAGCCAAGCTGGTGAGCGGCCGCTTCAGGGACAGACCCAGGTTCAAAAATGAGTCGGGGAGCAGTAGAGGAAGATGTCCACTGTTGGCCCCTAGCCTCCATGAATACGGGTGTAGGCATGCACACTCCCTGAGCACGCACACGCTTGCTTCACCACGCGTGCACACTCGCGCACGTCTCTTGTACGGTTTTAACAAGCTTTGAGGTTGATTATAGAGGGAGTAGGCAGGCAAGCAGACACACGCATGCATACCACTGCATGATGCCATGACACGGGTGTGGTGAGCACAGACTCAGGCACTGCGCAGGTAGACACAGCAGCCTGTTCCTGGCCCACAGGAAGGCTCGGTAAGCACTTGTGGGATGGTCGCAGAGGCCGGGGTGGGATGAAGCTGGTACCCACGGTGAGGCCAGGTACCTGACTTGGGAAAACTGAGAATAATGTGATGCAACTTGAGAAGTGGGAACCCAGAAGAGGTGTGGGTTTTATCTGAAGAAAGGAAACGAGTGCCCTCTTTAAGATTCTGATTAAAACGTTGGCAGTATAAAATCAGCCACTGTAAGTGCTGTCTGGTGCACAGCTCAGCGGTGTTCAATAATTCAACGTCCTGTTCCCCTTCCCGTCTGTAAGGTGTCGCCCAGAGTGGCCCAGATGGTAACTGCATTTCCTTCTCTCTGCCAGCTACCTTCCTTTCAGATCCGGCTGCTGCAGTCACTTTGTGCTTCTGGGTCACAGTGTTTGTCCCTTTGTCACTGTGTGGCTCTTAGCACGCTGTCCTCACAACGCCCACGCACAGAATAGCATGTGTCAAGATTTCCCTGTGTTTACAGCTGAATAATGCTTCTTTGTTTAGGCCACATTTTGATTTTCCATTCAGCCTCTGATGGACAGTTGAATTGCTCTTTCCCTTTTAGCTATTGTGAATGCAGCTGCTATGAATGTGTATACACAAATATCTCTTTGACTCTCTGCACTCACATTTTGTGCAATGCACCAGAGAGGCTCCCTAACTCATATGCTAATTCTATTCTTGACGTTTTCAGTAACTTCCCTGTCCTGTTCTCCAACAGCTGCACTGATTTTTCATGTCCACGGCCAGTGTTCAGGGTTCCAGTTTCTCCACATGCTGGCCAACATTTGTTACTTTGTTTTGTGATAGTAACTGCCCTACCATATGTACCATGCCATCTCATTTTATATTTTCCTGGTACTTAGCAATGTTTTTAAATAATTTTTTTTAATTTTTATTTTGAGTGCATTAGTGTAGAGGTATCAGATCCCTTGGAACTGGCATTACAGAAAGTTGTAAGCTGCCAAGTGGGTGCTGGGAATTGAACCTGGGTCCTTTGGAAGAGCAGACAGGGCTCTTAACCACCGAGCCATCTCTCCAGTCCCAGTACTTAGCAGTGTTAATGAACTTCTTCACCTGCTCATTAGTCACATGTATATTATTTTCAAGAGAAATGTCTCCGTCTTTTACGTGTGTGTACAGGTACGAATACATGTGTGTGCATGTGTGTGAGGGCCAGGAAACAACCTCAGGGCTCACTCCCCGGGCACTGTCCCCCTTTTGTTGTTGTTTGTCAAGGTCTCTCACGGGCTGGGAACCCACCAAGGAGCCTCGGCTGACAAACTCGCTGCTTCCAGGAACCCACAGGCCTGCCTCTCCCCAGAGCTTGGTTACAAGCATGACTCAGCACTGCTCAGTTTTTTAACATGTGTTGGGGACCAAGCTCGGGTCCTTGTGCTTAGCACTTTACCAACTGAACTCTCTTCTGGGACCCATTTTTTTTCGTC